CAACTTTAACATGCCCCATAAAACTTAAATGACTATAACCATAGGGACACCTGATTTAATATCATAACTCGGCACATTAGAAAACTTAAACTTGCCACAACGAGGAGTTTGGAGTTAGCATTGTGGGCAGCACGGTCATCTTCAACAGCAAGAAGATCTACAACAACATATATTTTCTTAGAATTAAATAACAAATCCATAGGAATTCGAGATTGTTTGCTTATGCAACATAAATCCTTAATTTATCTTTAAGCCTTGGTATAGCTCTGCTATACAATTTAAGTCCTAAGTCTTCTTAGTATTCTAAGGTTGTTGTTTGTCACGACCTAATTCATCACATTTTCCAGGTTATTTGTGTGATCGTTTCACACGAATATAAACTCTAATCAATAAAATTGGCAGGATGAAACATTTAAATGTTTCTCCTCTAAATTGAAGCCAAATCATAGGATAGCTTGGGAAGTCGCTGAGGTTCTCCTCAAGATCTGTGACATCTCCTAGTTTTTCTTCCTTTGGATTCTAAAATAAAATGTTCTAAATTTGAGTCATTCCCTTTTCACGTCTCTTTGTCCGGTTTAGTTGAAAAGTCTCAATTTTTTGATCTCTTTGAAGATAATATCCCCTGATTTTTATCGAGAGTTTTCTTAGGTGACTTTGATTATCTAGGACGTAATTAACTATAGGGGCTTGCCCTTATAGGAAGCATTCCCGAACCGAACTTAATATAAACCCTATTTAATTCTTCATATTAAATAGAAGAAATTGTCGTCTTATAATAAAATGGTTTCACAGACCAAAAGAATGTCATATATTTCTTAGTTTTTTTTCTATCGAGTCTCATCCTCAAGTCTTATGTTTCTCCTTCGGAATAGATACATGGTTTGAGGTATAGCGCTCTTTCATTTAAACTATGAAAAATATAGGGTCGGTTTTATTTCATATTTTTTTTAAACTATATATATATATATATATATATATATATATAATGTTTTTCCGAAGAGGACGACGAGATTTCGATTCCGGCGACCGACAGCTTTCAAACGGCAACTCCACAACCAAAATAGTGCTGACAAATGTGCAATACCATTATAAAATATGACATAAAAAATAGTATATTTTTAGGCGTATCAGACACCACTTGGGGAAATTTAGTTTTTTGGTGTGATGTTCTTTTATCTTTAGCATTTGGATTCGAATTGAAGGGGGATAATTTTATTTTATCTTATCATATTTCATTACTTAATGGGTCAATGGATCATGGACTTAATATCGGGTCATGAGGGTTTTAGGGTTGACTTTGGTTAGGTCGATTTGGGCTTGGGGTTAGACTTAGGGCTTGGTCTTGGGTTTTAGGGTTTTGGCTTGGATATATGGTGGACATCAGAAATTTTGGGTTAATTGATTTTTAATCTTTGGTTAATTTTTATTTTTAAAATTTTAATGAGTTGTAAGGTTTTTAAATTTCATCTTTAATTATCAATTTTGGACCTTCAAAAATGTTTGTGGTGCGATCTTTAGTTTAGTTGATTTAATTTTAATGAGATTGGATTGATTAAATTTTAATTGTCTCTTAAATTTTAGTTGGAATTGAAGTAATTTTAATAGGGCTTGATTTATTTAAGAGTTATTTCTTTTTTACTTTGTTAGGGTATAATTATGTTGATTTTCACATGTATTGATTTTAGTGAATTATGGTTAATTTTAGTGAACTTACTTGGATGAATTTGAAGTTGTTTCTAACACCTTCAATTTTTGTTGAGATTGATTGATTTAATTTTGTTAAGATTAATTTTAATAAGCTGATTTTAATAGATTTTAATAGGTTGATTTCAATGATTTGATTTAATTGTACTTACTTTTAATAGATTCAAAGTTTGATGAAATAGAATTCAATTAATTCATATTTGGTTGAAGTTGATTTTCATATATTCAATTTTTAGGGAAATTGATTTTAGTGGATTTGATTTAAGTTTTTTTTTAACAAATTGTTTTTGTTAAAACTGATTTTAATGGATTTAATGCTTGTTGATATTGACCTTAAAAATTTTTTTAAATTTAAACTTTGATTTTTTTTTTTTAAATTTAATTTTAATTGGTTTTTTGAATTTTAGTTGGTGGTTATTTCATTTTAAATTTAATTTTAATAGGTTTTTTGAATTTTAGTTGGTGGTTATTTCATTTTATCTTCTCTTCTAAAGGATAAGCCCTATCTTTGCTCAAGGTAAGCTTTATACTCATTGTGCTCTTTCATGAACCAAAGAAAGTGTTACTTAAGAAGTTGGGAGGGGGAAGTGCAAAGTGCCTAGGAGATATAAGCCTCGAAGTTCGAAGGATCGCCTAGGGCATTTCCAACCTTACGGGTACTCAACTTATGTCTCAATGACTTGGCTTTAACCTACTCAAGCAAAGATTAAGGATTTAAAGCTAGGTATATGAAAACCTAAGAAGTGAATAAATGTTTGAAATTCTATTTCGTTTTGGTTCCACCACAGGTCTTCTATGAATTCCTCTAAGGAAACCCAAAAGGTTAGACACTAGGCTCTAGAGAGAGGAATGGTAGGAAGGACCTCATTCAAAAATGAGGTCAACAATTCTTTAACTATACGTGTAAGAAAATATGAAAATTAAGAAATTCATGACTTTTTTCTTTAAGGCATAGATCTGGACAACAAGTTCATGAGAAATAGACAATAGAATTTATCAGTTTTTAATGCATCACTAACAACCAATTATGTGGAGCAGTCATTTGTAAAATTCAATGGCTTTGACCACAACCTATGAGCCACCACTTGGTTTTAATTTACGAGAGGTTTTGCAGTGAGATTCGATGGCCTATTCGACTCATATTTTTAGAGTCTAGGTCATTGATAAACCACCGAAAACTATTTGGCTTTCTGGCCCGACGACATATTTTTCTAACATAACTTTTTTATGAGATCCTTAATCACTGAAAAATTTATCATAAATGCTTTTTTTGGCATTCCAATAATGTCAGACTTAGAAGAAGAAAATAACACACACAGAAAGGCGTCGAGACATATGACACAACATCTTATAAGATATCATTTGGACTTCATATACCATTTTATCCACAAGGAATGAAAATTTTATTATCATAATCATTGCAATAAGTTATTCTATACATTAAGGAAGACAATTTAAAGTTCCAAATACAAACATCATAAAAATCATCAATACATACATACATTAAGAATGGAATCATTATGAGCAAAAAAATAAAGAGAAATGATGTGATGGATCTCGGATAGCTTTGTCCTTTGTCAGTGATGAGAACATGCATCATCACAATTCATAAAAACTACACCAAACTAATCGGTAGTTTTGGAACTTGTCAGCATCACAGCATAGGTTTCAGTGTAGATTGTCCCAAGCTTTTCGCATAAAAATTTATTGAGGAATTTCCTTGAATTTTGCATTTATTTATTTTTTTTTTCCAAATTTGGTCTATTTTCACCTATTCTTTTAATCATATTATCATTCATACAAATTATTATTTTTTCGTGCATGTTTTTGTAAATTACAATTCTTCAAATTGTAATTTTTTTAACTTTTATGTCATTATGAATTATGTCTGATTTCCACTGTCGATCACCACAATAAGAAAATTTTTAAAAAAAAAAAATGTGAAAAGTGGGACCCATTGAAATACATGTTTGTGGTGATCGACGGTGAAAATCGGACACTGCATACATCTCTGCATGCAGTGATGTCCGTATGAAATATTTTTTTTTTATTGCATGAGACATAATCATAGCTTAAGTAGATATTCTTTTTTGCTTTCTTTTATAATCAAATTTGAAGAGTATTTCTCCGTTCCCATTACTTCACTTAACATATGAAATGTTCTTTTTTTGGAATTATGACTTAATTAAATATATTTAGATATTACTATTAATTTTAATATTCATAAATGTTATTAAAACTTTCTTGAAGTTGATAATTTTATTTTATTTTTATTTTATTTTTATTTACAAGCTACAAAATAGACCTTGAGAAAAATAAAAATATTCACTATTTATTTAGTTTTATTATTTAAAATTAAGAGAGAACTGAACATATTTTCTTAGCTGAATTTTAACTTTTTACTTATAAAAAATTGAAATTATATTATATTTTATGTGAATTAACGCGATAGTCTGTTTTTTGCCATTATAGCTGATTAAAAAGATAGTTTAAAAATTATGACATAGAAAATAATTTCTTAAAAAATTACACCACGAATCATTAATTTATACATTTTTTAAAAAATTCGAGCAATGATTTTCTTGCAGCCATCTCACTTAGGGCTGTAAACGAGCTGAATACGTTCGTGTTCGGCTCGTTTATATTTCGAACTCAAAAAATGTGTTCGTGTTCGGTTCGTTTGCTTAGCGAGCCCAACACGAGCCGTTCATAAACAAAGAGTCGTTTTGACAACCCTAATCAGGTAGCTATAAGATGTTAAGAATTGGGACAAAATTTAAAAATTATTGTTTATATTAAAACTTCATTTGAATCTAATTTAATAATTTTATTCAATTTTATTAATTAATATTTATAATTAATTATAAATCTTGATAGCCTTTTAGTCAATTAATTTTTTTAAAAAATACTACCCATCATATAAAACGAGTCGAACATGAACGAACTTTGTTTGTATTGTTCGTGTTTGGGCCGAACACAAGCTTTTTAGCGAGCTAAACACGAGCTGTTCGCGAACAACGAGCCGTTTTGAGAGCCCTAATCTCATTGTTCGTATTGTTCGTGTTTGGCTAGTTAACTTAGCGAACGAGCCGAACACGAGCTTCTTAACGACCCAAGCACGAGTTATTCGCGAACAACCTCCTAATCTCACTTTAACATATCAGATGGAAAAAAAAATACTTTCTCATGACAAAAATTTTTAAATAATAACAAGAAATTAGTCCCTCAAACAAAACACACGGCAAAAAGAAAATCAAGCTTCAAAATCACACACAAAATAAAAATAAAATAAAAACAAAAATAAAATAATCTTCCATTAAGATAGGCAAAACTAGCAGGCACAACTACAAGCGATCCGATTTACAGCGAGTGGAAGGAAAAGAAGAAAACACAGATAAAAAATGGAACTTGAAGCCTTACAGATCAATAAACCTTCCTAGTAAAGATAGCTTTAAGGTTAAAGAGACCGCCATTACCCTCAACTTCTCCTCCTCTTCCTCCTCCATCCGCATCACCGCCGCCTCCACTGCGACTCCGATCATCTGCAAACACCTCGCCCTCCTTCTCACAATCCCGGCAGCTCGCAGTCCTCTGATGCCCAATGCACGTGTTGACATTAAGATTAAGCACCCTGCTGACTCCCGCTCCGCCATTATCCTTCTTCCCCGACGGCACAGCTCGTCTTCTGATCTGCCATACGGGATTGCTTCGGCCCAGGTAGATCCCCCCTGCACGGGCTTGATTCG